GTAACAATTTAGAATGTAGGGAAAAAGATATAGAGAAGAGGACTTGGGGTACTAGAGCTCACCACTGAGCTTGACTTCACTAGACACTAGCAATTGTATATCAATAGGGAAAATTGAATTGTAACTTGTGTGTGTGTGTGACATTAATTGAAACTAGGCATGGATGGCAAATAAGTATAGATTGTCTAGCCAATTTAAATAGAAAGCACAACCTATCAAATGAGACCAAAATCCATTCAATGAAACCACAATTTATGCACACACAACTATCTAGAAGCATACACCATTTGCATTCATAAGTATGGAACACCAAGGAACAAGAATAGATTGTCCACCTATCTAAGAATCTAAAGCAATTACACTACATCTACACTAAAGACATGGAAATTAGACTAAGTAAGCTAAAGGTGTGACACAATTCATCAAGAAACAAGTGTGAACCATTAAATAAATTACAAGAGTGTTCAATTAAGCATTATGTTTTGACCATCTCTAAATTAATTTCATCCATATACATAGACATATATAAACTCCACTAAATCTAGAGAAAAGCACATGAATTATCCATTCTAGCATAGATAGACATATGGTTAGAGATAGAGAATCAATTGAAAGCATTAAAATCCATACACATCAAATAGAAACCACAAGATATATATATAAATCCAAGATCAAAACATTTATTACAAACAAATCCCCAATAATATACAAAACATTAGGTCTAGGAAGCAAACTTAGGGGCTACTCTAGCCCCAAGTAGATGTTTAGCCACTCATTGAAGTAGTCATCCAACCCTCAAGGGCTATCTCTATGGTAGGCATGACCTCCTTCTTGATGGAAACCCTAAAAGAATGGAAGAACTCCCAAAGATGTGTAAATGCTCTCTAGTCTCTAGCCTCCTCTCCAAGATATGAGATATGATATGTGTATTGAAGATATGAAGATCCTTTGATATGAATGGCTCAAAATCCTTATATAGGAGGCTCAAGTGTCACACCTAATGGTCTGGATTCGTGCACTAGGGTCCTTACAATGATTGCACCATGAGCCAACTTTTAATGAGCTGGAATTTATTTTATTTCGGACTTGAGGAGGTTCGATCGATCGAACTGAGGTGAGATCCATCGAATTCTATAGAGATCGATCATCCTTGGCGGCACCTTTTTGAATAAAGACAAATTTCTGAGATATTTTGGGATAATTTGGGAAAGAGACAAAAGTGGTAGGTAGGGTGGTAGGTGTGGATAAGATCGAATAATTTCGATTGATCGAAGATAAGTTGGATCGATCGAACATGTGGAATCTTTTGGATAAGGACAAAGGCTTGGATCTATCTTGAAGTGTCCAGATAAATGTTGTTCTGATCGATCGAAGGAATGTTGAGATCGATATAACTTGCTGATTTTCCACACTTTACTTCATTTTGCTTCTACTTTGCTCCTTTCTTCCATTCAGCTTGGGATTACTTCTTTTAAGCTCTTATTTGGCTGAATTAACTTATTTTTAGGATAAGTATCTAAAAAGGGCAATAACATGAAATTACTCTAAGACGAAAAAATAAGATAGATAAAGGTCATAGAATACCTAAGCTTAAGGGGTTTAATTGCGCACTTTTCAGCGCTCATCATGTTCTTTAATAGATATAAATTTGAGGCTATTTGGAATTGATTTGAAATCTAGAAAATTTAATTATTCTTATTTAATTAAATTCTATCCACTTGTTCCATGAATTTAATTATGTTTTAGAAGTTGTTTCTAGGTTTAAATTATGGACTTGGACTTGTTGTATATTCACTTGGTTATGTTTTGAGTACTGGATAACATTGTTGTTATATTTATATTCACGAGAATATGTTTCCATTATTGAATATATATTGTTGTCCTATGTAATGAATTGCACACTTTGAATTTAGCATTTTACATGTCATAGTAGTTATAGACTTAGAGCTTGTGTTGTGTGTTTCCACAATTAGTTGTGCATGATAGATAGCTTATATCTTGTATATACATGTTGATATTTATATTGTTGTACAATTTGTTGATTTTGGAAACTTGGGGCATCGTTGTTATGACTATGGCTAGGGCATGGTTCTAGTACGGGGGATTGTCCCTCTACAAGTCGAGTGCGTACATAGGGAGGTTACTCGTGGGCTAGTAACCCTAAAGTAACCACGTTGTTGATCTGATCCGGCGTGATGTTCAAGTATATCCATTTTGTTTGATTTCACATTTTATTTCAAGTGATAACTAGATGATGTTGTAACTTGTTATTCCTTATTTGATTTCCCATTTTAAGTTTCAAGATGTTGACTTTGAGAAATCATGCTTTATGCGTAAATGACCAAGAGTAGATAAAAAGGTAAAGGTGTGGCTGCATCCCGAAAAGGTCAGTCTTCAGATTCTTTGGTTTCACCTCATAGCCAAGGCTCTTCCCCAGCAAGGACCAGTTGTAAGCGTCGTCCAACCGTGAATGGTTCTATCCTTGGTTCGTGTAAGCTTGATGGGAAGAAACCTAAGGTTTTAGCGGTTCTTCCTCCGGACGGGCTGTATAATGATCAGTTTTTGTTTGGTGCTACGGGTACTATTCCACCTGGTGCGCATTATGGGGATTCTGGTTACTTCGACTCTTCTCCATCGCAATATTTTGCTACACAGTTGGCGCTTTTGGTTGGGACCACTCAGCCTAGGGCTACTAATTCAACTGATCTTTTGTTTATCCATCCTAGTGGTACCTTGTTTGGTGGGTTTTGTTATCTTGGTGTTCTGTTGGGGTGTTTGGTTATGGTTTGTTTGTATTTGGTGGTTTCTTTTTAGATGCCGTAGGGCTTACTATTGCCAGGAAAAAAAAAAAAAAAAAAGAAGTGGGTCATTTCATTTAAGTAAAAAAATAATGAAATTCAATTTTTATGGCTTTATCTCACTATATTTATTCAGTTGAATTACCGAACAAGCATTATTAATTTTGAACTTTCTATTGTTCATTGATGCATTATAGAACAAAATATGTTATTTATATTTTTTTTTTTCCCTTCCTTTTGCGATGGTCAATTTGGAAAAAAGTGACATTTAATATTGTAAGTTAGTGGTTAAGTTTTTCTCATTTAAGGCTAATGAGCTAAACGTTCGACAAACATTTTGACCTCGGCTTGCCAAAAGTTTGATTCGTGTTCATTTATTTAATAAACAAACTAATCTCAAACAAAAATTTCATATTCGATTATTAAACAAACCAAACTCAAACATATCTTAGCTCGGCTCGTGTGTTCATGAACATGATCGTGAACAAACTTGTTGAACGGCTTGTGTCGAGCTTGAATATATATATATATATATATATATATATATAGACTATTTTAAGATGGCTTATTAGCCAATAAGTTTCATTTTCATTTATAGTAAGAAGTGCATCCCAATCGAACAACATAAGTATTAGTATTATTGCAAAAAGACAAAAAAATTAAATGAACAAATAAATAAAAGGATTACAACCAAAGCCCATCTCCATTGCCCAGCACAGCGTAAACCCTATCTTTATTACCTTCTCTTTCTCACTCACACACAACATAGTCACAGTCATGTATAGCTACAGAAATCTATGCACAAAAAGTCTGTAACACAAAGGGTAAAAGAGAGGTCAAATCTAAAGCTACAGATCTTCCTATATGTAATGTTCAGGACATGATTGACTGATCTTCCTATATGTAATGCTCAGGACATGATTGAACACGCTTTGAACAAGTTCAGTGTCTTGGATTGCAAACAAATGGTACAACAAATTCTATTTTTTTTCTCAAATCATAAAAATGGAGTGTTCAATTTAGGGCTTATTGATTTGAAGCACTCCTCTCAATTCGAATTAAGCCAAACACCCTTTCACGAAGGTGAAGACCCTTGCATCGTCTGCAACTACTCATCTCTCTCTTCTCTTTCTGACGTACAATCATAAATGAGCTCTAATCGAGCCGTTTGAGCCTGGTCAAACACCAACGAGTCGAGTTCGATCACGACTAGTCAAAGCTCCTTCAAACTCGAGCCAAGCTCGAGCTCCACTCTGAAGTAGCCGAGCCGAGCTTGAATATCCCAAAGCTCGACTCATTTGCAACCCTGCTCCTGTTGTCTTAAAAAGTCTCGAACCCTCGCACCTACTAACTTCTAATATGACATTTTTGTCATAAAATAAAATAAAAAATAAAAAATAATTTTTTTTACAAGTTTGCATAGTGTGTCAATTAACCTCCCACAAGCATTCCCAAAATTGTGATTTCCAAAAATTTAGATAAATATCCAAACTGAAAAAATTAAGCTAGTATTTAACTCCTAAGTAATTAATTTATATAAATCCTCAGTAATTAATTTATTTGTAAAATTACTTGCAAATAAATGAATGTAAAACAAATCTGGATGATTTAGAAGAATCAAAAGTATAGTACATGTATAAATGTGCAAATTATGGTGATTGGAATCAGTGCATCATGATGTGAATTCCTCAAATTATGGTGATTGGGATCAGTTCCCATGTCTTATTTCTATTGTATGGTTTTGACTGTTTGTCTGGCGTGACTTTGACTGCTTGTCTGGGAACACTAAACTTGCATTTTTGTCCTATATTTAGGTTCCCTAGTGGGTCATTTCATTTAAGTAATATTAATTGAACTCAATATTTCCCATTTTATCTCACCATATTCATTCAGCTGAACCAGCACATCAAAACCATTTGCTTGTTTAGGTGAGGAAAGGTAGTCATACCAAATTATACATAAATAAGACCACTTGTTTTCTTGATTCTTTTCAAATTGCTCTTACAGAACAAATATATATATATATATATATATATATATATATATATATATATATATTTCTCCTTCTTTTTTTTTTGCGATGTTCAGCTTGGTAAAAAAGTGATATTGTAAAGTGAATTGAAAGGTTGCATCTGCTGTGCCAATTAACCTCCCTAAAAGCATATCCCAAAATTGTGACTACAAAAAATTTAGATATATATCTAATCCGAAAAAATTAAGCTAGTATTTAACTCCTCAGTAATATATTAAAGTAAAATTACAAATAAATGAATGTATTTAGAAGAATCAAAAGTAGAGTACACGTATATATGTGCAAATTATGGTAATTGATGGATCAGCGCATCATGATGGTGAATTCCTCAAAGTTAAGGACACCATCACCATTGATATCAAACATACTGATCATGGAATTACAATTCTCCACAGTGGACGACTTCCCGAGTCGAGTCAGCATCGTCTTCAGGCTCCTGGGTGTAATACACCCAGTCCCCTCCATCTCATACATCTTAAAGGCCTCTCTCAGCTCCTCCTTCCTCTCTTCCTCTCCCCCATTCTCCATCAGCCTCCTGAAGTCCTCCAACCCCAACATCCCGTCTCCGTCCGAATCCGATGACCGGATCGCCATCTCTGCCTCCTCGTCCGACAGCTCCCCTCCCACCGTCCTCACGCAGGTCTGCAACTCCTCCGGTGAGATCTTGCCGTCCCCGTTCTCGTCAAAGTACATGAACACCCTTTGCATCTCATCACTGCATTCATCATCAGCAGCAGCACCAAAAGTCGTTCTTCTTGGTGGACTCGACTGAAGCGAGCGCTTTTCCGGTGACTTTCGCGACGATAACTTACGACATAATCTTCCGAAAGCAGACGAATCAGTTTTGATTCTACCACTCCCTACTTTTGGTGAGGATATTGAAGACTGGAGTGTGGCTTCTGATTTCATGTAATCAGCTATTGTATTGAGAAAGTATACGGTACAAAGAAAACAAGAGAGGTGACTTGTATAAGAATGAGTTTGAAGAACGTGGTTTTATATATATGAGCTTAGGATTGAGCTGCTGAATTGATTTTATAAGTTGTGTGGATATGTGTATATAAAGGAAAATATGGTGCGCGTAGAACAAGTTGTTTTGTTGTGCGGGGATAAGATGCTGAGTTAGGAGCGCGTAGAACCAAAAGGCGGTTGAAAAAAGAAAGAGAGTGAAGAGATATACATACACATAAACGTGGGACCTTTCACACGTGGAAATTGGTGGTCAGTGACGTTACACATATAGGGTATGTTCTAGATTAAGGTTAACGGTCAAAGACCGACACGTATGGAAGACGGTTCACTTGTTTTTGGTTTTTGTTTTCTTTCTTCATTAATGCTACCTAAGAAAGCACATTTTTTTAATATATTGCAAAGCTCTCTTTTACAAGGATTTGAAAAGTTTAGAGACGTCTGACAAAAGGAAATAGACAACCGACGTTAATATGGTTTTAAAAATATATGATATGAAGAAATTATGCATAATATATCTATTTTATCTTTATACCCTTTTAAAATTGCCCAGGTAACTAGAAAAAGTTCCTTCAGTTCTACCTTTAGGTTTTAAAAATAATACGGTCCTAAAAAATTGGACAAATTAGAGACAACACTCACAAGGCTTTCATATTGTGTACTTAGATAGAAGTGTGCATCATATATTGGTCAATTACTTTTGTGATTTCATTGACCTGATACATGTATCATTATTCTTGAGTGATGCATCATATTAGTGTATGTTAACTATATTTTTGGACAAAAATAACCATGTTATTGTCAGAAACCAAATTGTTCATTAATTGGAGAGAAATTACATCATTCTAAAAGGACAAAAATACCCTTCTGCTAATGGATCACAATGGATTATGTGACTCATTTTTCAAAGTTAATTATTATTTCTTTTAGTAGCAATTATGACTCTCTTACTATATTATTATTTCTTTTTCAAAATAACCTTTTATATTGAATTTTTCACATGAGCATTAGCAAAACCCTATATAGCATGTCAGAACACAAGTTTAACATCAGATATTACATTTCAATTGTAATAAAAAAAATCCTAAATAAAAAATTAAAGTAACCCAACTCTGATCTGAACAAAAAAACAAAAATTATATATTTACAATCATGAAAAATAGAAAAAACACAAAATAAAAAAAAAAATCAATATTATCTCCATAAAACAGTGAAAAAAAAAAAACCCCTAAAATAGCGATTTATAAACAATAAACAAAATATTCAAGATGTAAACCCCTTCGAATATTAGAAGAAACCCTAAAATGATCAATCGAAATGTGACAAATAAACAAATAAACATGATATAGGGTAAATATAATTTATTGAAACCTAAAATGACAAATAAACCATAAAAAAATGAAGGGAATATAAGAGGAGGAGTAAAACAGTAAGTTACACTCACCCACTCCTTTCCAAATTTTTCTTTTAAACAATGGTTACTAAGGATAGCAATGGGGCGGTTTTCTCAATCCCCTATCCCCGTTAAAATTTGGCACCCCCAAAACCGCCACATAACTGATTACTTTTTTACTCATAATCCCCATAACTGCCCTCGCCCTATCCCCACTTGCTCTGCCTCTACCCCGCCCCGCCACGCTTTAGAAGATAAGAATGAGTAGGGTTTATTTAGAAGTATATATATAATATAATATGATATTTATATATACAGGAAGGCTCTCATGCGGTCTAAAACAATAGACTTTTCAACGGACCAAAACTCCATTAGTCAATTACACTTTATTACCTTATCAGACTTAACCATAGTTAATAATGTTAACTTTAATAGTCAATTTACCATAGTTAGCCAATACCTTTATCCAATCTCTCTACTCCTTAATCTCTTCCATCTTCCTTGTAATCTCAACCACTACCGCTATATCCATGCTATCACAGCCACCATCTTCACCACTACAATTATGAATCAATGATTGTATCTAGCACTGTGAAGATCATATGAAGTTATTTTAGCATCTAGAGGTGGCATTTTATAGGATAGAGCTCTCAATATGTTCTTTTAACCGAGTAATGCAATCTTAGTTATTTCCGATTATAAATTAAGTATCATTCGAAAACTAATTTAAGGATTGTCCCACATATATCTAGAGTAAAGGGAACCAATTGGCATATTGGAAGTATATAATAGATTAATGGCATGAGAAGTGACACGGCTGTTATACTATGCCAAAATGTGTATAGTGAGAGTGCGAATCAAGAAAGCCTTTTTAGTCAAGTTTAAATTTATAAAAGCCACAACCACTACTACTTCTAACGTAGCAAGAGCAAGTAGGGATCTTCCCAAGGGATATGCAAGGTACTCCGGAATTAATGTTGTATTAGTAGGTCGAATGATCAAATATGGGTTTGGTTGGTTGAATTACACTAATGATTCAATTAAAAATATGCAAATTGAGATCAATCTAGAGATTAAGGTAAAGAGAATGAGAGAAAGGTCTTGGGGTATAGAGTTCACCACTGAGCTCAACTTCACTAAACATTAGCAATTACCAATTTAAGGGGAGTTTCATGTTGTAAAACAAGTGTGTGTGGTGGGATCAAATTATGTCTACCAATTATAATCAACCCTTACAATAACACAAATCATTGTAAAATAGAGCTATTATAGGGGTAAGTCGAATCACAAGGACTGCAAATTTATGGTAACTAAGTTCTTTAAAATCACTTGGTTTGATGATAGAGATGTAAGGTTTTGTTTTGTTTGTCACTTGGTATTTGGAATTAAAGATTGCATAAAACAATAAATTGAAGGAGAGTAAAAGGAGGGAAACTTTGGTAGAGAGGGCTAGGGAAGTGAGTCAATTACCGACCCTATAAACATGCTAGCTTGTGATTAACTGGGGAATAACATAAATATATGACCATGATATATAACAACATAAAATTGCTTCATTATCTTCAAGAAATTCATGAAATCAATAGGCAAGAATAATCTATCAAAGTTTTACATGCTTGAACTACCTAAAATAGGGTGTAGCCTTAGACATGCTCATTAAGCTAGAGATTATCAAACCCTCAATCAAATGATAAAAACTAAGAATAGTCCATCAAAGGAAGGCCCTAAGGTATGGACTATCAAACTTCTTAAACAACATGCCATTAAAATCATTTCACAATCTCATTTTCATTGTCACTATGAAAATGCAAGCTATATGATCATGAGAGAAAATAATGTAAGACAAGATAATAAACTCAAAATGATCATTTATAAACATTAATATCCATTACAACATGTGTATAGCTCTAGATTATGAAACTTGGCCCATACGTATATTTTATACCCTAAATTAAACCGAAACTAAGGCATGCTTACAAGGAAGGGCTTCATGACCGCCCTAGAAAGGAAGTTAGTTACCTATAGAAGCAAAGGAGGAAGGAGAAGAGGTGATCTTACCCTCCATTTTCGCACCTAGGAGCCACAATACACACACACCCTCAAGAACTCAATATTTCTCTCTATAAATTCTTACAATATGAGATATGTTTATTACATGGTTTAAACCTTTTATTTAGCAACCATAGCCTTCCAACCACTCTAAATTCATGGCCCAAAATCCCTAGAGAAGTGCAGAGCAATCCCTTGAATTAAGGGGATAACATTAGGTGAAATGAAGTTACTCACGACCTCTTGTCTGTAGATAGGTGGGCGTCCGCAACGCAGGGCGGGCGCCCGCATGGTGTCACGGGAGCTTTGGTGCGGCATTTGGGGGGGCCCGCAAGGTGTGGCGGGACCCCGCATTTTTCCAAACTTTCTGGACGGTTTGACGAGCGCCCACAGTGCTCCTGAGCTCCACTGCTTCTTGAAATGATCTTTGCTCGGTCCAATGACGCGATCATCGTCCTTAGCACTTTTTGCAGGGATAACCATGAGTTCAATGAATCACTGGCTTGGCCAAAATGAAGGTCCCGGCCACGGCATGCTTTGAATCTTCAAGAACTCGTCAAAGCCTTACTTTTAACTATCTTTGGGGAACCAACCTAAAAGTAAACACAAACATGCAAATGAAGCTAATATATACAATATGATCAACTAATGGACTTAACTAATGCAAGTAAGGGTGCTTGAATATGCATTATTCGGCGCTTATCACACCCCCAAACTTACATTTTGTTAGTCCTATTGCAAAACCAAAAATGAAGATCTTAACAAAATGACAACATTTGAAATGCTATCCACATACATCAACCATGGTGTAAGAAAATACACATAGTTCATTTGTAACTTAGAAAAGATAGAATATTGGAGACGGAATTATTTTGCAGACTACCTTGTGTATATGAAGCCTATAACACAATGGCTAAACATATTTCAATTCTTATGCATCACATCATAGTCTATATAAATACTTCAATTGTCATCTCTTTAATAGAAATCAACTCTAACTTCAATGAAAGTGAACCGGATTCCTAATATGCAGCTTTTACCTTCTTTTTCCAATTTCAAAACACAAGTCTTCAAGTCATTAAATTTTCCTTTTAAATAAGGTCTCTGAGGCATGATTTATTCAAAATACAAAATTTATTTATTTTATTTTATATACATATTATGGTCGTGCAATACCGAAGTCCCTTAAGCTTTCTAACCAACCCATGTAGCAAGTGTTAGACCAGCAACTCCCAAACCGGATGGCTTTAGGGTGTTAAGTGTAAAGACACTTACAGGGTTTAATAACTCGAGTTGGCAAGGCTACGAACTCCAACGAACCATATTTATTTATTTTTATTTCATGAATGACCGTGTAATGCCTAAGTCCCTTAAGCTTTCTAACCAACCCATGTAGCAAGTGTTGGGCCAGCAAATCCCAAACCGAATGGCTTTAGGGTGTTACGTGTAAAGACACTCCCAAGGCTTAATAACTCAAGTTGGCAAGGCTACAAACTTAAACTAGTCATTATCATTATTCATTTTTTTTTTTTTTTTTTTAGATCAATGCCAAATATATCCATTCATTAGGGTCATCAATTCAAATCAACTGAGTTATGATCAAGATAAATTAGGTTACATGCCTCACAATTAAGTTTTCGGTGTGCATCTGTGAAGTGTGAAGCATAGAAGAGTATGAAATCCGACGAAAATCTAATTGAAGC